GTAAGTTCATCTCGGACAGATACTTGTACATGGAACTGACATCTTGACGTTTACCAGATCTAATCTAAAGAATTAACGTCTTTCCGAGAGGTTTGGATACTTAATAACAGCTAACCAATCAGTAGCAAAATCTGGATCCAGCTAAGTAAAAAGTCTCCTTTCTCTAGGTTAATACAGCGTTAAAAGATGAATGCAGCCTTTAAATTTACTTGTAGTTTCTCTAGTTTGCCATTTTCTCTCTCTCACCCTGTATCTCTGAATACTTTCAGAAGCGCCTAGCAAACCCTATAGCTGTTGCTTCTCTGAAAGCTTAATGTACAATAAATAGAAAATATATAGAATAAGAATTATTTGAATAAAAGTGATGAAAAATGAATATAAACTAAGAAATATTTAAATAACTAGGAACTCTGTGAAAAGAAAATAGATGAGCATGTCATCTATGATAATATATGATTCATGGTGAGAAAATATTACAATAGATTCATAAAGAAAAGAATTACTGGAAACAGAAAAAGTTCAATTCTTTTTTTATATTTTCGCAAACAAATGTAAATGAAAACATACTTAAAAAAATAAACCCTTGATGTAAAATCGATTTTACAATTTTTAGAAGCCAAAAATATTTTCAGGCAGAAAAATCTTTTTGGTCTTTGCGTTTTAGAACAGCATCAGAAATGCAAATATCTAGTTTCCGGATAAGAAACTAATTTTTCTTCCATAACCCTGATTATATCTTTGTATCCAGGGGTCCATATAATTCCATTTCTGATCCCAAATGGGATCGGGGTGGAAAGTACATTTAGGGGCATAAAAATACACTTTCTGTGTCAATGTGAACTTTCGCAAGTTTTTTTTGTGTACGTGTACTATACACTTCGGAAATGGGTACTACATTTGGGGTGTTAAAAGATGTTAAAAGATATCAGTAATCAATATAAAAGATAAATTATGATAAAGATACAGAAATATAAAATTTACTCCCATTCACTACATTCTGCAGTATGGAATTTTTTCTACAACTTGACATCATACTTACAATTGTTTACAGTAACAATTTATGGTTAATTGCTGCCCTAATGATCAATCAATCAATATTTGGGATCGTAATAGACGGAATTATACGGCCCCCTGCCTGAAAACTGTAAAAAAAAATATTTTTCCAACCAAAGGTGAGAAAATTTTTAAATCGTGGATATCGAGACCATACATTAATCTTAATGTCTTGTTAATTTACCGGGAATGTACAGTGTACAGTTTACACTGTACAGTGTACAGTATACACAGTACAGTTTAAAGTGTACAGTTTACACTGTACAGTGTACAGTTTACAGTTTACACTGTACACTGTACACTGTACAGTTTACACTGTACAGTGTACAGTTTACAGTTTACACTGTACACTGTACACTGTACAGTTTACCCTGTACAGTGTAAACTGTACACTTTTCAGTGTAAAGTTTACATGTACACAAACAGTTCATTTCTAGTAACCTAAATTTGCCAGCACCATTTTATGCACATTAAGCTATTCCTTACGTTGTATTGTCCAAAAATGCACAATTATTTTAATAATCAATGCCGCGTAGATCAAAGACGAGTTTAAGATTTATTGGAAATCCCTGTGTAAAAGTTGATCCCTAGGAGCTTGTTAAATTGGATAAAGATATTTGCAAACTACCCGACACACATACAAGCTGTGCAAAATTGACGAGCAGAAGATATTTGCAAGAAAGTTGCAAACTCTTGAAACATTATGGTTAAGAAAAATTGCAACTCGGAGACATCCCGCAGTAATCTTGGGGTTTTAACTCTTCATCAAGAGAAATTAAAATCTGACACTGGTGGATGGAGGAACCATCTCCTGTTTTCATAATATTCAAATTATTTTAGTTGTTTTTTCTCTTTTAATCAGAGTTTAACCAATATTCTGAATCAAATTACATTCCCTAGTCTCGTTCCATCTGTTCTCGTTCCATCTGTTCTCGTTCCATCTGTTCTTTTTCCATCTGTTCTCGTTCCATCTGTTCTCGTTCCATCTGTTCTCGTTCCATCTGTTCTCGTTCCATTTGTTCTCGTTCCATCTATTCTCGTTCCATCTGTTCTTGTTCCATCTGTTCTCGTTCCATCGGTTCTCGTTCCATCTGTTCTCGTTCCATCTGTTCTCGTTCCATCTGTTCTTGTTCCATCTGTTCTCGTTCCATCTGTTCTCGTTCCATCTGTTCTCGTTCCATCTGTTCTTGTTCCATCTGTTCTCGTTCCATCTGTTCTCGTTCCATCGGTTCTCGTTCCATCGGTTCTTTTACTATCCGTTCTGTTTATACTCAGTCTACAAGTTATATTTCTTTTTTTCTCCTTTCATTTGTTCTCTGTCTTTCAGGACGTTCTTTTGCTATTGCTTTCTTTCTATCTGCTCTCTTTCTTTCTGTTCTCTTTATATCTATTATGGTTTTATTCATTCTCTTTTATATTCATTCTCAGTCTAGGAGTTCGATCACTCCTCAGTCTTTCTGTTCTTTTGATATCCACTTTTATTTTTATTTGTTCTATGTTCTACACGCTTCTTTCTATCTGTACTTTTTCTATCCATTCTTAGTCTACCCTTTCCCTTTCTTATTATTCTCCTTTCATCCGTCCTCAGCCTTTCTTTACATTCTTTTTCTGTACATCGTCTTTCCATCCGTCCTTTTTTCTAAAGTTTATTTCTAGCCGTTCTTTATCTATCCATTCTCGTTCCGTCCGTTCTCAATTTAGCCTCTCTTCTGCTTTCTGTTTTTATCCGTTCTCCCTTTATACTCATTCTCAGTCTAATCGATCTTTTTCTATTCATTATCCTTTCTATCCTTTCCATTTGCTTTTCTATCCCTTCTTGTTTTATCCGTTCTCTTTTATACTTCTCAGTCTATCAGTTCTATTTTCATCACTTCTATTTCTAACCGTTCTCGTTTCTATCATTATTAATTCTAACCGTTCTATTTTAATAATTTTCTCTCTCTAGCCATTTTCATTTTTATCATATTACATTCTGCACGTTCTATTTTCATAATTTTTTCTTTTTAATCGTTCTCATTTTTATCGTATTCATTCTAACCGTTCTATTTTCATAATGCTCTTTTTCTTACCGTTCTCTTTTTTATCCTAATTCGTTCTACCCGTTCTACTTTAAACATTTCTCTTTCTAACCCTTCACATATCTACCATATTTCATTCTACCCATTCTATTTTCATCGTATCTCTTTCTTAACGATATAATTTTTATCATATTTCATTCTAACCGTTCTATTTTAATCATTTCTCTTTCCAACCGTTCTCATTTATATCATATTTCATTCTACTTGTGCTATCATTTCTCATTTTTAACGATATAATTTCAATCATATTTCATTCTAACCGTTCCATTTCAATTATTTCTTTTTCTAGCCGTTCTCATTTCTAACATATTTCATTCTATCCGTTCTATTTTAATCATTTCTCTTTCTAAACTTTATCATTTCTATCATATTTCATTCTAACCGTTCTATTTTAATCATGTCTCTTTCTAAACTATATTGTTTCTATCATATTTCATTCTATCCGTTCTATTTTAATCATTTCTCTTTCTAAACTATATCATTTCTATCATATTTCATTCTATCCGTTCTATTTTAATCATTTCTCTTTCTAACCGTTTTCCGTTCATTCTTTTATTCCTTCGTTTTTAGATCTGGTATTTTAAAAAAAACTCTTCTTTTTAACTACTTATTCTTGAGATTTTTCTCTGTCTTTTCGTCAAAAAAGGAATTGTTAACAAATTATATTTCTGATATAAATTTATGTTTTGATAACATTAACAAGTACAGGTATAAACCAATCTACAGCAACATAATTGTCGTCTTCGTTTTTTCATTTAATTACGAGTTCAAGCTCTGCAAAAAAGTAACTTGTTTGGAGATTTTCATTAAAGGAAGTGTTCGCGAAAAATGGAAGGGGGTAAGGCTTACGGCGAAAAATAAGCACTATTGATCGCTATTCGCTACCTATCTTACTTATATCTGTTGCGTCTATAAAGAGAAAATTGTTAAAAACGACTTCTACCAAAAGATGCAACATTCAACTTGGATCTTAAAATAATCAATTTAATTACAAACAAATAATTCAGAAATTACAAACAATAGTCATCGATTTATTTTTCGGCTCATTCGTATATAGTTGATATTTCTTAATAATTTGATTTTGTTTTTTAAAACAATATTTCACTGGGCCTGGACATTTGATCATTCTTATGTCGTCTTCATTATCAAAAATCCTCGAAACAGAATAAATGTTTTCAAAAGTAACTATCAGGTCATAAAAAATAAAAAATAAACATTATGAAATAAGATCTATATACGAATGCGTCTAAAAATTATAGATAATTATTGGTTGTATGATCTGAATGATTTGTTTTAAATTAAATTGATTTTTTGACGATCCGAGTTGAATGTTTCTGAATTTCAATGGACGCTACGTTCTTCGGTATGAATCATTTTAAACCATTTTCTCCTTATAGACACAGCAGATAGAAGTATTTAGTAACGATAAAAAGCGCTTATTTTTCGCCGTAAGTCTATACCCCCTTTTATTTTTCGCGAACACTCCCTTTAAACATGTTTCAAATTACAAAATTCTTAAAAGAAAGCGCAAAGACGACAAACAGTTAGCTGTTTATTGGTCTAACTGTATATAATCATCTGTATGTATATATCTCCTGGAATCAATGAAAAGGAGTTGGTGTCAGCACGGTTCTGTGAAGGGCGAATGATGCATCTTTTAGATTCGTTTCAGGTATTTCAAACCTGCCATTTTTTACATAAAAATATTTCGTCACTTTCTCCGCTCACTTTCTCGTGTTTTTGGTGGTTAAAAACTAGATGGTTCGGAATATGCAAAAGCTTTATAGCCTCCTCTTAGCTCCACGATTTGCACAATTTTCACTTTGCGAATTTTTAATGCATTTGGCCGCCTTATAGTATACAAGGGTTAGGGACATTAAAAGGGTAGAACTAGAAAACAGAGATATTTGGGGGAACTTTATATTTCTGAAGGATGGATGATTAGAGAACTTTTTATCCCATCTTTGGTAGTTCCTTGGTTTATCTCGATCAATCAATCAATCAATCAATTTCTGGTTCTAAAAGCGGGTACTAAACCCAGACTCCATGGGGGTTTTTGGAGGTCGGGACAGCATTCTCCAGTTGACGGGGGCTCCCTAGCATCTTCCTTGTACTACCAGCTTTCATAGGACCTGAAAATACACATTTTAAAAATAATTGTCCGAAAGTTTGAACAGTTTGAACAACGATTCGTAACCGTACACTTTGATAATGTCATGTAAGTTACATTTTTAACAAAACTTCGATTTCGTGGATTTTCATGATATTTACAGTGATATTACCAGAAAACTCTGAAAGAGGAAGACGAAGTTTATAATCAAGTTATAACTGCTTTAATGTAGTCTTCACATAACATTTTTTTCTGGTTATCACTGAAACCATTACAAACTAACTGTATAAGAATAAACGCAGTCATTCAAACACCATCAAATAAAGCGTAAAAGAGCTTAATAACATAGATACTTGAATATTGGGTTGCAAGGAAGGATGCTATTGTAAATCGTTGAGCTCTTTAATTCAAGAAATAATTTTCAGATTATTTGCTTCCAATCTAATCTATATCATTTGTATACTATAGGTTTTAAAAAACATGCACTACGCACACTACAATTATTACACCGTACACAATTTGCATTAAATATGTTTTTGTTATCTGAAAAATAAGACAAATAAAAATTCAAATCTAATTTAAATTACTAAACAAATATCTAAATACAAATATAATTTGTCACATTTCGCTTCCTTTGATCTTAAATATTTGGTGTGATGTGAAATATAAAATATTTGGAAGAATTCTGATATATTTCTGTGCTCTTGTTATCATCAAAATAGAAAATCTAAAAAATAAAAATAAGGCTATAAAATTCAATATGAAATACAACATGCCAGATAATACAATTATTAAACACAATTAAATTGTACAGTTACCCAGTAGATTTGTACTTGAGGTTATGTAAACAACAGATTTGTACTGCAATAATTGAAACACAACACAATTCTAATGTAAGTTTGTTAATCACACAATTGTACTGCAATTCTGTAAACACCGCAATTATGTAATTATGTACATGTAGAGCTAGCTAGTTAAGTACCTAAGCAGTATCTGGATGATGCTAAATAAAATGGTATTTTAAGAATTCATTTGAAATTAATTGACATTAATCTGAAGCAAATGCTATTGTTTTTCAAGTCCAAATAGACGCTAGTTCACGTTTTAGTCTAATTTGTAGTATCTAGTATAGTAGTCTGAATTTCTGTTGTCTGATGTCTAGTTGTCTTGTCGCGTGATGTCTATTGTGTGATGTCTATTATGTTTATTGTCTGTAACTAATGTCTAGTAAGTGTGTTGCTAATTTATGTAGTTTGTCTGGTAAGCTTGTTGTCTTGCACCAGTTTTAAAGTGTCTTTTTTCTGTTGTCTAGTGGACACTGTCTATTGTCTCCATTGTCTGATGTCTAGTATGTGGTAGCTGTTATCTGGTGTCTATTTTCTGTGTTGTCTGAAGTCTATTCTTTGATATCTATTGTCCAGTGTCTTTGTTGGCTGATGTCAAGTTACTAAGAAATTATCGACCAATGCCTAGTGTCTATTCCCTGTGTTCTTTGATGTCTTTTGACTGAAATCTACTGTTTAGTGTCTAGTGTCTATTCCCTCTGTGATCTTATGTATGTCTAAAGATAATTGTCTAGTGTTTGAGATCAGATTAGTATCTAGTGATCTTTGTGATATTATGAATGTAGTGTCTAGAGATTATTGTCTAATGTCCAGAGATCAGTCTAATGTCTAGTGTGTCTATTGTCTGTGTTGTCTGAAGTCTATTGTTTGTGTTGTCTGAAGTCTATTGTCTTATTGTCTGAAGTCTATTATCTAATGTCTGTGTTGTCTGAAGTCTATTGTCTGTTTGTCTGGAGTCTATTGTCTATGTTGTCTGGAGACTATTGTCTATGTTGTCTGAAGTCTATTGTCTGTGTTGTCTGAAGTCTATTGTCTGTGTTGTCTGAAGTCTACTATCTAATGTCTGTGTTGTCTAAAGTCTGTGTAGTCTGAAGTATATTATCTTTGTTGTCTGAAGTCTATTGTCTGTGTTGTCTGAAGTCTATTGTCTGTGTTGTCTGAAGTCTATTGTCTGTGTTGTCTGAAGTCTATTGTCTGTGTTGTCTGAAGTCTGTTGTCTATTGTCTACTGATTATCGTTTGAAATCTACCTTCTAAGAACGGTTTAGATTCCTCAGGAGGAGATATTGTTAAAGATTCCAGATTCAGACTTTTCATTTCCTAAACACAAATATAAACATAGACATAAACAAAAACATAAACATAGAAAAAACACCAAAGGGAGTATATAACTGAAGAGAAAACAAAAAGATAGCTAACAGCATAAAAAGGAAAAAATTTACTTGAAAAATACCTTAAAAAATATGGTCTACAATTTTTTTCCGATATTATTTTGTTCATAGGAAATTTTTGCGTAAAACATTATTTTTTTACTTTTCTAAAAGAAAAGATAAATTTATCTTAGAAAGAAAATAGATAAATAGAACGCATTAGTTTAATGTCGCAATATATTAAACTGAAAATATATATTTTAAAACATGAACCACGGGATGGAAACCAGAGACTAAACACCAAGAAACCAGATATGGGAGGGGGATCCCAGATAGAGGAAACCATATGAATTTTATTAATTACCTTCATCAGGTGTTCAACCTCAGCTTTCCGATTCAAGAGTTCTTGTTCGACATCCTTTTGCTGAAAAATGGAAATTAAAAAATTGGAAAATATTTTAAAGGAACTCTCTTCTCTTATCACCTAATAACCTTTTAAGCGAATTTTCATTCATTATGTTTATTTTAAATCAACGTGTTTAAGATTTTAAACATAATTTTCCTGTTGGTTTAATAGACAATTCTCATATAAAATTATAAAATGTAAAGTTTCCAATAAAGATTTAACAAAACAATTTTTTGTTAAAAAAAAACGTGAACAAATTCAACCACAATTTTACTCGAATTGAAATTTATAGAAAATCCAGGAAATATTTAACAAAGGGAATTAACAGGAATTATTATCCAAATCCATGTTAATTCTGAAACTTCAAAAATAAATATTAAATTTTTAGTTTTATTAATTACGATTTGTAGTATATTTTTGAGGACGTAAACTTTTGAAAGAGTTGTGAGAAAAAAACTGATTAGAAAATGGTGTGAACAAGATTATGACCCTACCTCTCGGTTTAGTTAATCTGAGATTATGATCCTACCTCTCGGTTTAGTTTATCTGAGATTATGATCTTACCTCTCGGTTTAGTTTATCTGAGATTATGATCCTACCTCACGGTTTAGTTTATCTGAGGTTATGATCCTACCTCACGGTTTAGTTTATCTGAGATTATGATCCTACCTCTCCGTTTAGTTTATCTGAGATTATGATCCTACCTCTCGGTTTAGTTTATCTGAATTTATGATCCTACCTCACGGTTTAGTTTATCTGAGATTATGATTATACCTCACGGTTTAGTTTATCTGAGATTATGATCCTACCTCACGGCTTAGTTTATCTGAGATTATGATCCTACCTCACGGTTTAGTTTATCTGAGATGGCCGTACTATCCTCGGAGCTTCGCTGTAGATGTTTGATCTCCTGGAAACCATCAACAATCATTATATTTTTAAAACTTTTATTGCTGAAATTTTGGATTCGAATTGAATGGTCATCAAGTTTGCCGCTACTACATTATGCAGAAATATTAAAGAAAATATGAAGAACATTTTTTTAAAGAAAATTTTTGAATTTGAATTTGAATCGCTGAGAAGCCCACTAAAATTTGATATGAATATATGAAGAAATAAAATACAATATATTTGAATGTAAAAGCATTGAAAATGACAGAAATGTCGAGATAAGCCAAAGGAAAAAGATTGAATATAACTGTGCACTGTGCAGCGGAACAAACTCTAAGATTTACGGGAAAGAGGGGGTGGTATTTGTACCCTTTAAGAGGGGAGGGGCAGGGGTGGATTTGTACTTTTAAGAAGGATTAGTGCTTTTTTACCTCTACAGAAGGGGGGGGGGGGGGGGCGGGGGGAATATTATGTTAAAATTGATATCTAAAAATGAAAGTAAAGGAATTGAGTTTTTGTCACAAACTCTGATTTTCAAATCCCGATATCTTTGCAACCTAATGTTGTAGACCTTAGATATTTCAAACTATAAATTCTGTTAGATTAAATAGCTTAAGTTTGAAATATCAAAGGTGTACACCATCAGGTTGCAGAGATATAAGAATTAGGATATTTGAGTTTGTAGCAAAGACTCAATTCCTTTAAGTGAAATTATTAATAAAGATATGAAGGTATGTTCCAACTAATGAGGTGTAATGATATGATAAGATTGAGATGATATTACAGCTTGACATAATTATCCAATTAAAGTTTAAATGAAAATATTTAAACGAACAAGATAAATAGATGATTATGTTCCTGTTCGATCTTAGCAATCTCTAGTCTTAGTTCACATTCCCTCTCCTTCATCTTCTCCTAGATAGATAGATAGATAAATATAAACATGAATATACTAAATTAATAGTTAGATGAATAGATAGATGGCTTGATAGATAGACAGATGGTTGGATAGCAAAAGTAAATATAGTTTGTTATAATATACTGTATATATAGAGACAAAATTATATAAAAATAAGCAGATAAAACTTTTTTTAATATGTCACAAAGTTCCTTTAGAAGTTAAAAACAATTAGGCTGAGACAAATTATGTTTACAAAAGATACAAGTTTTTTTAGACCCCCCGTACTTAAGATTTTATGGTGGACCGAGGCCAATTTAAAAGGAAATAAAGAATTTTAACATGTTTCAGAAATTTTATCGATTATCTTTTTATTGGTTCCTCGGACACGGATATTGGGGAATGTTTTCCTAGAAAAAACATTAAGATATTTGGTCTTATTCTAGAAAGGGTTTCAAGGATATTATAATGTTCAATGGCTTTACGAAACAAAAACCTATAAAATATTTGCCATACCGTAGTTGGCGTTTATATCAATACAATGAAGACGACTTACTAACAAGCTTTTTTTCAATTACAAGTTTACAAGTAAACAAAGAGAAGATGTTAATTGATAGCTTATTTTTGTTTCTGTGTTTATGTGTATCCATGCTGTTTGAAAGCTTGGTAAAAATCAAAAATTGAAATCGGGAATCGTCTTTCATGTATTTGGTATATAAGACGACTATGCGAAAAAAAGACATTTGCAAATGTTTAAAATACTCAAATACAAATTAGAAATACAGAAATATCTAGTTTTTCTTGTAGAGTAACATTTTTAATATTCATTTCAAACAGCAATGCCTACATGACTATTGATTTTTTACTCTTGATGTTTGTTTTTCTTGTTTTAAGACAAACAACTATTCTACAGGAATTTTACAATTAAGTTCTATACGTAAAAATACAAATTGCAGGTAGGCCACGGGCAGCCGTTATAGTACATTTGAATTTCCGATCTGGGTCAACCTTTCTGGTCCCAGTTTGTACTGTATCGCCCGGACATTGGGTAAATGAAGCAGACACTCAATAGGACTAGCCGGTGCAATAGGGTTGATGCGGTCAGACTTTAGGGTTGAATTTACTTTTACGAAAGGGTCAAAGGTGCGTGAGGCTTCAGATACAGTTTTGAAAAGAAACTGAGTTCTTCTCACAAACTGATTTTCTAATCTCTATATCTGAAAGGTTTACTTAATCAGGTTGCAAAGATATAGAGATTAAAATATTTAAGTTTGTGGCAAAAACTCAGTTCCATTGTGAAAAAATCATTTGTTGCGATAAGTACGCATACAGCATATATAATATTAATAAGTATTTAATATTAATAAGTTTGAAATATCTAAGGTATACACTATCAGGCTGCAAAGATATAGGGTTTAGAAAATTTAAGCTTGTGGCAAAGACTCGATTCCTTTACTCTTGTAACCTGAACTGGAATCGGAACCAAACATAAACTTTTTTAATATTATTATAAATATTGAACAAAATTGAGTCAATAATAAAAAAATAAAAGTTTTTCAGTTAAGGTTTAATCAGATGTGTGCAGTCAACATTTATGAACCGCACCCCCCCCCCCCCCCCACATTTTTATGAAACATTTATTATCTTATTTTAAATAATTTTTTAGTTTGTTTTTCCTCTATTTTAATTGAATAAATATCCTTTTTAGATTTTTATCCAAAGTTCTGTCAACCCCTTCCCCATTCTTTCTTAATATATTTGGCATCTTTCACCAACTCCAGACCCCCCCCCCGGCACCCCTTCCCCCTCCTCCCTGTTGGCATTTTATTAAAAGCAATATATTCGAGACAGAAATTAATCGTGTTGATCAAACAAACCAGTGTAAACAACATTGTCTTATGCACACAAATGTTGCAACAAATCAAATTAATGAATTTACTTAATTCTATAATTAAATAATAATTAGTTAGTTTTCATTTCTTTAAATTATAATTGATTCTGGTTTAATTAGAAGATTTTCTTTCTCCAAATCTAATTTATTCCTCTAGTTCGCCAACTGGCCTGCATGCATTCCGCAATTCACCCAAATCAATAATTAATCCAACACAATTACTTAATTAAATATTGTATTTATGCAATTTAATATTATATACAAAGTTTAATCAAAATTGGTCAAAATAAATTCAAACAATTTTCCTTTTTATATTCTATCCCATATACATATTTTCTTATTTCCCTTATATATGTTTTCTTATTTCCCTTATAAATATTTTCTTATTTCCCATATATATATTTTCTTATTTCCCATATATATATTTTCTTATTTTCCTTATATATATTTTCTTATTTCCCTTATATATATATTTTTTTATTTCCCTTATATATATTCTTATTTCTCTTATATATATATTTTCTTATTTTTAAATTTTTTAAAATTTTGAAAATCCGCGAAATTTTTTGTAAAAATCCGCGAATTATTTTTGTTTAGTTTTACGATGTACACAAAGAGAACATGTTCACAACTAATTTAGAAGATGGGCGCGCAGCGCCCTCTAAGGCTAGAAAGAAGGGCGCGAAGCGCCTTGAATTTCTAGTATATATATATTTTCTTATTTCCCTTATGTATATATTTTCTTATTTCTCTTATATATATTTTCTTATTTCACTTATATATATATTTTCTTATTTCCCTAATATATATTTTCTTATTTACCTTATATATACTTTCTTATTTCCCTTATATATATTTTCTTATTTCCCATATATATATTTTCTTATTTCCCTTATATATATTTTCTTATTTCCCATATGCTGAAACTTTTTAACTTTTTTAAAACTCAGGATCAAAAGGGTTTATTAGCAGTCTTTAAAAACTTTTTATATAAATTTTTTGTATAAAGATGTAAAATATGTACTTTTTGACATAATTATCATTTTCATGTGTGCAACATCAAGAAGCCTTGTAATAATAAACTCGGTTTCGATTGTTTGAGAAGTAGTAAGTTCCTGGCTCTGGTTGGCTTCTGAAGCCCCAGTCTCTAATATATCTGTATATAGGATTTCAAGGATTAGGCTTGGAGTCTACAGTTTCAGGATATTTATATACCAAACCTTTAGCATATAAAAACAAAAAAGTAGAAAAGGGAAAAAATAAAATAGAAAATCAGAAATCAAACTGAAAAGATCTAGCCCAAAATGAACTCAATGAGTTTGGTGTGTCTAGAGAAATGAACTCTTCTATTGAGTTTAGTGTGTTTTATAGTATACTTAATGAATGAATGCTATGAAGTAATGAGAAAGCTGTAGAACCGATTTAGTGTAGACAAAAGTAAATGTTAAAAAAAAAATATGATGTCTAGCATGTAATATTATGGATAAACATATAGTAAGCGATTTGGCGATGGCTAAGTAAATGCGTATTTAAGTAATAGATAAAAGTAAATATATACCTGGGAGTAAGAACGCATCTCGTCTCCGAGTCTGCGAAGGGTTGCGTTGGTTTTCTGTAACTCTAAGTCGGTCATCTCAAGCCTGTGTTTCAACTGATCCAACTCATTCCTAGAATAGGAAAGATTCAAATAAGGATAGATAGATAGACAGATAGATTTGGATAGATACATAGATGGATAGATATAGATAAATAGATATAGATATATAGTAGATAGATAAAATATAGAAAGATAGATAAGAATAAGAATAAGAAGAAAACTATTAAAAGACCACGAAATGGAATCCCCAGATTGCCATCGGAAGTTTCAAAATTATTTACGAAATAGAATTAATATTTTTATGTTTTTTTATGTTTATATTGTTTCTTTGCTAGAATAATTAAAAGCGACATTTAAATACAGGTACAATCAATGCATCTTACTTTTAAATAACTCTTAAGTATAATACAAGCTTATTCAGGAACTTGTTGAGAAGGAGCTTAATCTATTTTTTTCTTTTTTTCTAGAGGGGGGGGCGCTCATCACCCAATGGGGCCCAAAACCCCTAGGAAACCATAGATTTTACTAATACAGGGACGGGGTGAGCCCCCATAGCCCCCCCCCCCTAAATATGCCTCTGCATCTGATCTGCCTGTACAGTGTATACTATAGTTGGACCCCCTGAGGAGAATGAAAATATGAAAAAATGATGAATAATGCAAGATTATTATAATTTCCCTCAAGCCAATCCAAGCAGTAAAACAATACTGCAACTTTTATTATACCATGGAGATTCATCAAGGTTTAGACAGACAAGGTTTAGGAGAGGACTAGAGAGGGATAGGATAGTTCTAGGAGACGGTTTAGAATAGTTCTAGGAGACGGTTAAGAATAGTTCTAGGAGAAGGTTTAAGATAGTTTTAGGAGAAGGTTTAGGATAGTTCTAGGAGAAGGTTAAAGATAGTTCTAGGAGAGGATAGTTCTAGGAGAAAGTTTAGGATAGGTCTAGGAGAAGGTTTAGGATAGTTCTAGGAGAAGGTTAAGAATAGTTCTAGGAAATGTTTAGGATAGTTCTAGGAGAAGGTTTAGGATAGTTCTATGAGAAGGTTTAGGATAGTTCTAGGAGATGGTTTAGGATAGTTCTAGGAGACAGTTTAGGATAGGTCTAGGAGAAAGTTTAGGATAGTTCTAGGAGAAGGAACAGGATAATTCTACGAGAAGGTTCAAGATAGTTCTATTTGAAGGAACAGGATAATTCTAGGAGAAGGAACAGGATAATTCTAGCTATGAGATTGAGAAGGTTCTAAATGGGAAAAGGTTCGAATTTAAAAGTTATAAGATGTTTATGACAGGTCTTTAATTCTAAAGTTTTTAAGAAAATTCAGCCCCCCCCCCCTTCATCAGATAGAAAAAAAAACAAATCAAAGTTTTCACACCCAATTATTTTTATGGCATTTCTGCCTTGCAACCCCCCCCCCCTTCCATTAAGAATATTTAAAAAGTGTGAAAAGTTGAGTTTAGGGCTGAGCTAGAATTATTATAGCTACCGGGGGATATTAAATCAATTCTATGGATTATAGAACCTAGGGCGGGGCGGGGCTGTAAAGTGTAAAGTGAAGTTTGCGAAAACTTTTTAGGTTTCTTTATTGGGATATTGGGATTGATAATAAATAAACACAATTATTTTGAAGGTCAAAAACATGTACACTGTAGTGTACACATTTATCACATGGATTTGAGCCCAAAACTTAAGACAAATTACCCTAGTATCAGAAACCGGGTTTCGCGAATAAGGAAATTTTGTATAACTGCTTGCCTATGTGCCTGTATAACTGCCTGTCTGCTTATATGCGAATATAGCTGCCTGTCTATGTGCCTATGTACCTGTATAACTTCCTGCCTATCTGCCTATGTGCCTGTATAACTGCCTGCCTATGTGCCTGTATAACTGCCTGCCTATGTGCCTGTATAACTGCCTGCCTAGTGCCTATGTGCCTGTATAACTGCCTATGTGCCTGTATAACTGCCTGCCTATGTTTACAAGTCGTGAACCAAGGTAAAGTATGATCCAAGATTATAAATTCTAAAACTGACCCGAGACTAATCTTCAACTGAGCGCAGAAATTGGATGGGACGAGGATAATTTAATTTATTTATTCACTCAGTTTATTCAATTTTAATTCACATCCTCGATCAAATTCTGTCAGTTTATTCTATTAAAAAAAAACTTAAAAAACTAATATTGCCACTACATTTTCATTAACATTTTAATATCTTTTTCCTTCATGATGATTTGGGGTTTCATTTCATTAATCTTTATCTTAACTTTCTCTTGTGACACAAAGGATACTTTTCCTTTATTTTAAACTTTTTATATTTTAAGCTATCAAAGACAGATAGAGAAATAGATAAAGTTTAGTAAATGGATAAATGGAAACAGAAAGATAGAAGAAGCCAGACAAAACAGATATACTAAATGTATTAAAGAGGGGGTGTTGGTGGGTAGAGATTGAAATAGTTTTTTAAACGAACGAAATTTTTGAGAGCGAAAGAGACTTTTCGTGAAAAAGGATGTCGTTCAGAAAAAACGAACGATGGACGACCGAAATAGATCGTTAATCGAATTTAAAGACAAACGAAAAAACGAGCTTGAATAAATGAATGTCTACTGAACGAACGAATTTTATTGTTTTTTTCTTAAACAACGATTTTTTGGAACAAACTTAATAAAAGATGATAGTTTGTTACTGAATGAACAATTTTTTCGAACCCATTTTTGAAAAAAATATCGTTTTTTACTGAACGAATGATTTTACTGAACGATAATTCAGTGAGAAAACGAACGACATTGAACGATTGAAAAGCAATGAACGAACGGAATGAAAATAGTCTAACCTGTCCACCTCTATTGGTGGGATATAAGGTTAAGGTTCACGTGTACCAAACAAAATATACCTGATGGTAAACTGATTTTCGCCTCCGAAGTTTGAGAGTTCCTCCTCGTTTCTGGAGGCCGCCTCCTCCAGCCTCCGAACCTCGGCTAGGACAGCCTCCAGCTGTGAAGGTAGATAATCAACTCCTCCGGATCCAGCAAAATATCTCAGTTCATTTTCACACTAGATAATTATACAAAAATTAAAATGATTCAAATCGAATCAAATTTTTTTTTAAATTTTCAACTGAAAATTCTCAAGAAAGTTTTGAAATAAAATTTATAGAAGATAAGATTGATTTATAGATTTTCGTGTAGAAAGATGGACAGATGAAGTGTTCGATAGATGGATGGATAGTTAAATAAATAAATGGATATTGGATTGGAGACAGAAAATCCTCTAAAGTAGATTCAAACTTTGATCAGATTTATTCTTGGCTTTTGATGAAACTTACATAAGTAAAAGTGTTTTCTGACCTCAACTTTTTGCAATTAAATGTTTTATGGAGCGCCCTAGAAGCCTTAGTTTATATAATATATATTCAAACTCATCTATGTACACTTAAATATTTGTACATGGGAATTTGTTCATTGTTTTTAGGTAATTTTTAAATATTTTTTTCTTTTTTTGATAAAAATATTTCAAAGTTTAATAAATTGAATAATTAACTTATGACAATTATGAAATCTTTGAAGTTTACAAAAAACGGTCTATAAGGATTAAAATAAAAACACTAGCTGGGGGTGGTTGATGAAAAATTACACATCTAAAAGTTTAAGATAGAGTCTAGGATTGAAGTCTGAATAAATAATTCAAGACAAACTCAGAGCCAAGGGGATACTCAGAGCCAAGGGGATACTCAGAGCCAAGGGGATACTCAGAACCAAGGGGATACTCAGAGCCAAGGTGATACTAAGAGTTAAGTAATAAAATAAAATTGTAAATTGCCGGAAAAGCTAAATAAACAAAATTAAAAAAAAATTAATTGTACTTAAGAGAAATCAAAACATAAAATTAAATGCGGTAAGAAATTAACTAATTGGAAATATTAAGAAAAAAAACTGTACGAACAGAACTAGAATAGGATTCAAACTGAGCGGAAAGAGAAAAAATAAAAGAAAACAATTCTTAAAGTTTAAAAAAGGGTTTAAATTCAATTTGAAGAGAGTGACAAAAGAAATGAATAATGAAAGAAAACCAAATTGACTTAAATTTATGAAAAGGGTCGAAAAGAACAAATAGAATTAATTTAGTAAATGTTTATCACATGAATAATCTCTGCATGCTGGGACTGAATTAAGTAAATGTATATCACATGAATAATCTCTGCATGCTGAGACTGAATTAAGTAAATATATATTACATGAATAATCTCTGCATGCTGGGACTGAATTATGTAAATATATATATTTTATGAATAATCTCTGCATGCTGGGACTGAATTATGTAAATATATATTACATGAATAATCTCTGCATACTGGGACTGAATTAAGTAAATATATATTACATGAATAATCTCTGCATGCTGGGGCTGAATTAAATAAATGTATATTACATGAATAATCTCTGCATGCTGGGACTGAATTAAGTAAATGTATAGTACATGAATAATCTCTGTGCTGAGACTGAATTAAGTAAATGTATATTACATGAATAATCTCTGCATGCTGGGACTGAATTCTGGTTTTCTGTGCAGAAACCAAATTTTGAAGTTCTCCATAATCATCCTAAACAAAACAAAAACATAAGACGTTATTAAAAAAATGTTTTTAAAAAAACTAAACCTTAAAAACAACGTCAGAATCTTTATTATTTGTCCTGGAGTTTTTACTTAAAACATAGTTGATCATAAGAATGCCTAGATCTTGTGTTGAAATCAATACCCTAATACCATTTTTCAGAAAAAAATAACAAAAAAAACATCAGAAGTCATGAAAAAAAGCCATTAAAAACATCAGAATCTTTCTAGAGTTTTCACTTAAAAAGACTCACACCCCTGATACCTCAGAAACTCAACCAAAACATTACCAAAACCAAACTCAACTATAAACTTTAAACAAGATTCGACTTTCTTAAGTCAAGTTCTGACAGATATCAAGGTATTGGAGTAAAATATCCGACACAAATATGAAATATTTATATCTTTTGGTCACAGGTTCCTATCCTGTAAACTCCCCCCCCCCCTCCGCCACAGATAGAAGAGGGGGAATTTCCCTTTAAAGGGACTGTAAAGGAAAAATGAAAGGGGGTATAGGCTGAAAGATAATCACTTTAGCTCTTGATCGCGACCCATGAAAGTTTTATTTGATGTTCCTGTCTCGAGAAATTGATTTTAAACTGTGTTAAAATTATAAGAAAGTTCATATATGTAAAATTTAGAAAATCTTCAACTTAAATCACGTGACCAGAACTATCACCAATGGCAGAGCAGTATACTGATCACGTGTCTCCGCCTGTATTACGTGACCACTTTACTACACTGCCATTGGTGGAATTGCTGGTCAAGTAATAAGGAAGTATAAATAGTATTATGAATTAAATCTATTAAAAATATAAATAACAAATATAAAATTAGAATTGGAGTAAACCTAAGTTACAATTAGCTTTCTCTGGGATATCATAGTTTTCAGATTGGTTGCATACTTGCTGAATTTGATCTATTTAAACCCTCTACTTTTATACAAAATTGTATATATATATTAATTTTCGTATAAATTTGACACAGTTGTATATCAATTTCTCGAGATAGGAACATCAAATATAACTTTAATGGGTCGTGATCGAGAGCTAAAGTGATTAGCTTTCAGCCTATACCCCATTTCATTTTTCCTTTACAGTCCCTTTAAGTGTAAAAAAAATCAAATTAAGTGCAATACGCACAATTCTAAGGGGGGGGGGATTATATAATTTTTACGCAGAAAGATTAAAATATTTGAGATATTATTCTAAAAAATTTGCTGCGACATGAATTATTTAAAATCAAATTTTACTTTTACACCCCGACGTACCCCCCCCCCTAATCAAAGCAAAACAGTTGCGCCTATCTTTAATGTAAACACTGCACTCAAGAGAGGAGGAGAAAGATAAACACAGATATCAGACAATATCTGATTCTGATCAAAGATAATATTACAAAAAAAGCGAAAATTGAAGGATTACAAATAAAGGAATCGAGTATTCGATGCAAACTCAAATTTACTAATCCCTATATATGTATATATTCAAGCCAATGTCATAAACCTTAGATATTTCAAACTATGAACCTTGTTTGGTCCAAAACTCTAGTTTGAAATATCTTTTAGATTACACCATCAGAATGCAAAGATATAGGAATTAGAAAGTTCGAGCTGTGACAAAAACTTAATTTCTTTTTGAACTAGTTCTGACAAAAACCTGGTGATTTATTGATACAACATCAAAGACACGACTTTAAGCTTCGTGACATTTGATTTCTCACCCATTTGAAACTTCAAACGTTGCATTAAGTATACTGATAATGTTCTGTGTATTCATTTCATTCATGTTAACCTTTTAAACATAAACATAGATTTTTATATCATTCATTTATCAAATAAATCTGATTTGCCAGAGTATTTTACAAAAAAATAATCTTTAAAAATCTGATATAAAAAGGAACTGAGTTCTTGTTACAAACTCTAACCTTCTAATCTCTATATCTTTAAAATCTGGTGTACACCTTCACTTTTCAATACATTAATTTTGTAAGAAGGAATAGTCTAAGTTTGAAATATCAAAGGTTTACACCATCTTGTTGCAAAGATATAGGGATTGGAAAATTTAAGTTTGTGGCCAAAACTCAATTCCGTAATTTTTATTTGATAAAACTTTTAAGTTTAATAATTAATAGAAATAATATTGTTCAAACATAAAAACTATGAAATCAAACCCATCCTCTCCTTCAATCCATCCTCTCCTTCAACCCAATTAAATTAAGCCAAATTCTTTTAATCCTACCCTTCCATTGCATAAATACTCAGCTAGAAGGTTATATTTCCGTGCTTTTACTCGCATCATTTTTTATTAACAATTTTGCAACTACGCTAACTAACCCTTGAATTATAGAAGTTGGATTTCATTGATTTCATTTATCTTAGACGCTCTATAGTCTTTTAAATTAGACGGCGTATGACAGGATGGATAAGATATATGTGCATTAGTATGTTCAAATATATTTTAACACAATCAAAATTGGTAAATATTCCGCCTAAGTACGTTATTTTTATTTCTTCCAAACCAAACCAAATATTACAAGATGTTGCATTTCTGTTTCAGGGTTATTTAAGTGTATGTTGGATTACGGTGAGGGAAAAAATTTTTAAGAACTTTTGGACACCCTGTAATAGAAGGATGGGGAGAAGGGTTATTTATGTTGCACTGGTGCCGTTGTACGCCAAAGTGCATAAGGTTTCGTCTCGCAGTACGAAAGGCCCTGAACGCAAATTAAACGTGTTCATTCTTCATTATTAAAATATCATAACGTGAACCCCTTCAATTTTATCTATAAGTTCAAGCAAAAACCTAATATCTTTATGTCATCCTTGAAACTTTACAAAATTGATGAACGGTGACATATATATAAAGTTCAATAAAGTTGACTGAGATATACAGCTGCCAACTTTGAAGTTTGACATTAAATAAACATGATGTTTCTTTGGAACAAAATCATTATTTTACAAAACTTTATTTGAAGAATCTTTCTAAAAAGTGTGTTATTATTTGTTTCAAATGAACCCCCCCCCCTCGCACATTTGGGTTTTTTTTTTTTTTTTTTGGGGGGGGGGGGGTTCAGCCAAAATGAGTTTATTCCATAAACCTCTTATTTATGTCAACAAATTCTTGGCCGCTTAAGAATTTTTTTATAAGTAGTCGTTATGTTGTTTAAATGTTATGTTTTAGTTCTGAATTTCGACCAAAAACTGGCTATTTCATATGCTTTTTTGTACTTTTGCTATAAAATATATGCTTTTTTCCGAAATAGCTCGCTGCAATACAGACGACATCTAAATATATTGCGGGTTTAGAGGATCCATTCAAAGATAAATATATTAACGATAAAGTAATAACAAAATTGAAATCATTATAAATCAATGCAAGCTACAATTCATACGATGTTTATAAATGAAAAGATTATCAGAATATATATTTATTTTGTCCATTCTCACCATGAAACACAAGACAAATGCATTTTAAGAGGAGTATTGTGACAAAAACCAGTCACCCCCCCATAATGGAATTGGATATGATCAAACTTTCTGAAAAAGCATTTAATATCTTTGGAATATTATAAAATGCAAAATGCTAAATGCAATTCATGGATTTTTTCTTCGATCTGAGTTTTAGCATTGAAAACAAGTTTTTGGTCAGAATGAATACACAAATATTTTTCATCCATTCATCCCTGGATTGGAGGATTTCGTGTTTTGTTCCATTCATCCCTGGATTGGAGGATTTTGTGATTTTTCGAACATGAATCGGGAATATGGTGCAGTGTTAAAAACAATTCTTAACAATCAGTCTCGATTTCCAGCCAAAATATGTTAATTCTGTTAGAGATAAGGTTTTATATAATATTTAAAGTAAAAACAGCTCAGACTCTTGTCCACAATAGTTAGTTTCTTTTAGGGATAAATTATAATTTCCGGTTTTCATTGTTGGCTCCAATTTTGCTTCTTTCATGTTCCCTCGTAATTCAATTCGAGAAATTTTCCTTTATTTTAACACAAACTCTTCTTTACTAGTCTCTATATTTTTATGAAAACCTTTCATAATTCAAACGGAGACAATTTGATCAAACAGAATTGATAGTTTAAAGGTGCATGACAACAGAACATGGGATTGAAATATTAGAATTTGTGGCTAGTGTGTTTGATGTCCTTTTCACTTTGATTTTGGCAATAACTAATTCTAACTTCACTGCAAAAAAAGCACGTTATCGCTTTAATCGGACAAATTACAATTAGTTATATTGCGATATAAATAAAGATACTTTTGATATATCGCAAAACATGTTCGTTGAAGGAAACAATATTTATTATAGGGAATCAGCTATTATCATACCGCACAGAGTGTGCGATATATCTAACTGTAATTTTTTCTTTGAATGTAATAGATATATCTATTGGAGCAATAGCGGTTTTGCAGTGTAACCTAAAACTGAATAAATGTACTGCTCTAAATTATAGACGAGTGAAGATCAAATTCTTACATTCTTCCAAGTATTTCTGGCAGGTGATGAGTGACCTCTAGCGGGCGATCCTGAAACACGACTAGGAATAGATCTGCCTGGTGAAGGTCCCTTGGGGTGCCCTCTCACTTCTCTATGATGAGGAGGAGGGGAGTAATGAGGCGGACGCCCCATATGTTGATTTCTAGGGGGTGTTGGGGAGTGAGGGGCGTAAGAAGGGTGAGGAGGAGGAAGCCCTCGGCTGGGGGAGGCGGAGACATGGCGCCCCTGTGTAGGGGAGGTAGGGATTGGACCGCCCCTGGCATGAGAACCCGGAGGAGGAGGTGGTTCTCTATATGGCGGTGGTTCGGCGGGGCTAGGATTCCGGCCTGGGTGAGGTGGAGGTCGGTAGGCTGGAGGTGGAGGTCCCACCCCTCTGTAACCTCCTCTAGAGTATCCATAGTCTTGAGGTCGATCTGGGGACGGAGATTGGAAACGAGATCGGGGCCAACCTAAAAAAAAACAATTTATAAATCAATAATCTTCTATATATACAATATACTTTGCTTATCTGTCTGTCCATTTGTATCCAATAAACGTCAAAACGGCTGAACCGATCGGGCCCAAATTTTGTGTGACCCAAAGGAATGATTATGGAACATAAAAATTGTAAGATAATTTTAGAAAATAGTTGGATTTTTTTTTCAAAATGCAGGCGCAAACTGGAAAAGAAAAATCTGCCAAAATTTTAAAAAGATTTAAAATGGCCGACTTTCAGAGGCTAATATCAAATACGATCTATTGACAAACGGTAAAAAGAAATAAGTTTTAGCCACAAATTCTAATTTTCAAATCCCTATATCTTTGCAACCTAATGTTGTTAACCTTTGATATTTCAAACTATCATTATTTGATCAAAAATGATTCATAGTTTGAAATATTTGAGGTCTCCGACATTGAAATGCAAAGATATAGGGATAAGAAAATCAAAGTTTGTGACAAAAACTCAATGCCTTTACATTTATGAATATAAAATCAATAATGATGTCTAAATAAAGAAGTGTAGTTCAGAAAATGATGTACAACAAGAACTGTGACGGGGTGTGCGCAGACGTGTGAGCACCCTGTTCAATTGCTTCGACCATCATCATCTATTTTATTTTATACATATTGTTGAAAATTAAAATTTGGAAAAAATAAACGTTAAAATAGTTTTAATAAAACTTGTTCAAAATATGTTAATAATAGCTTCTAATATTCCAGGAGGGTTAAGGTTTCCTATTTCAATATTATAAAAGTGCTTGCATGTAAAAGGATATATTGCACAGATATCATATTTTAAAATCGTCAGCTAAGTATCTAGAAATTAGATTATCAATGTTTAAAAATTTCTCATTTAGCAAGATAATAAAATATTTCTAATGTTTCAGATCTATGTATGTATTGTATATATAATTCAGAATGTATCTACCTATATTAGATTCAAGAACCCATTAGGTGTAATTATATCACTAATTACATCACTAATTATCCTTTATCTCATGTTCAACCCTCATTTATTATGCAAGGTTCTCAACTATTTTAAATGGATAAACTAAGGAGGTAAACATCTGAAAAGAACATTTCAAAAATGAAAAAGTATTCTTATTGTTGAAAGGGACCGTTCAATAAATTCTTAAGAGTTAGTATTTTTATTTCGATCCGAATCAAGATTTGAAGGTCCATGAACCCTGTTTTAAGCTTTAATCTAAATCAAAATTAGAAAGTTTTGCCTTTTACTTATGTGTCAAATATTAGATGTTATTTGTAAAAAATGAAAATAATAAATCTGTAAAAAACCAGATGTAGGTAATAGATTTCTCCCGGGTTTAACTGAAGAAAAGAAAAATGAGAAAATAATTAAAATAGAAATAAAATGTAACATCTGGTTCGGATATACAAATACGGGCAATAACTTGAAGATGAATGAATTTTAAAGGCTAGGGGTAGTTCAACGATAAAGAGGGGTTAAAAGTAAAGGAATAGGATAGTAAGTCTGGGTGAAAATGATAAAAGAGACAAATTGTTGTAATTTAAAATACTTTACATAAAGGAAAGGAATATATTACAGGAAAAATAGTTGATCAAATTTTAAGCTTAAAACTATCAAGTACACCCCCATCCCTTTTTAACCCCCCCCCCCTCCTCCGAATCCGTGGAGAATTTCTTGCTTTGTTTTTAGTCCTTGCTTGATTTCAAGGTGTATTTGTGCCATTGTTTTCAATTCATCTGTTCTATTCGACTCTAAAGAGGAATTAAAGAGCAAGACAACAGCAAGAAAAATCGAAGACGATAATTGTTCATTTTAAAGGTTTGATTATTTTTTTTTTAAATTTAAAAACATCAATATTTTTAAGTAAGTATTAAAATAACGAAAGTTTAAAAATTTAAGGTTAAAGATTAATTATTTTTTTTATTTTCAAAAATCTAATTCGTTTTAAATTGCACGGGCAACGCCGTGCACTTCAGCTAGAATTTAATAATAGTGCACTTTTTTACCTGAGGGTTGAAATCCCGAGGGTGGGAGGTGACTAGGTCGCTGATTTTTAGATTTCTCGGCGTCCGACGAAAAATTGGACGAATCGCTGCCGGTCGGATCCGATCCTTGTCCTGAATATTCTAACGATTATATCATAAATTACCAGAATGTTTTTAAGATAAATCCACCAATATAAAGTTTTAATTGTTTAACAATGCAGAGAAAAAGTTTAAAAGTTTGCAAGGTGTTTTAGTGTTTAGTCTTTACAAGTCATTAAACACTTGAAAACTTTAATAAACTAAATAAAGCCAACCGAAAAAAGCAATCTAAAAGTTTAAAGTGAAATCAATCAAATTAAATCATTTATTTTACAAGAAATAAATTCAAAGTTATTACAATTTTTTTAAAGAAAAAATGTTGAGAAAAAATAAGTCTTGACTCTAGAAAAAGAAATTCTTGTTCAATGATGAATGAAACCCAAGAAGCAAAATGAAAATGTTATTTCCTCTCTCAATCGTAAAACGTTGAAAATTCGAAGCGGCGGTATAAAAAAGGTGACATCACTATTTTTAAGTTTAAAACTTTTAAATAAAGAATATAATTTTTTTATTTTTCTATATCGTGTAAACCTGATATAATCGTATTTCCTGAATCTGGACTGAGCCGTGCTATATCCGGTTTTAATCGGCCTGGAGGGGTCTTCCAAATACCCTGACTAAGAGGTCCTTTAGGATCCGTTCCTACTCCCTTTAGGGGATCCAGAGGAGATCTTTGAAGGATAAATTGAACATCATAGGAATATTCGCCCCACTTCTTCATGACCTAAAATAAAAAATATAAAAGCTAACATCTTTATAAAATGTTGAATTCCAATTCCAAATGCAAAGTTTTGATGGAGGTTATTTAAGAGCATGAAGGCAAGTTTAAAGACTATAGTTAGGGAAAGGTTGTCTCAAACATGAATTTGAATTTTTACAATTTACATCACTTCCGGCTTGAGCACACGGCCTTTTGAGTTTAAGTTTATACGCCTGAACCTTATAGCTCCACCTTAAAAATCTTAAGATCGCATTTAACACGAAATTCTAAAATTAAGATATGCATAATGAATCCCCCCCCCCTTCACCCTGACTCTCCAGACCACAAAATATTGAAATATATAATGTTTGTAAAATATGTGTAACGAGGTTTTCAGGGCGCTTCGTGCCCATCTTTTATTAAGATCAAACATGTTCTCTTTGTACACATTGTAAGACAAAAACAAACAAAAAGTTCACGTAATTTGTAAAAAAAAATTCGTGAATTTTCAAAATTTATTCTAAATCCAATTTTGTTGGGAGGCTAATTTTTGAAATTTTTATCATCCTTAAACCTTCCTTGGGGCCATGTGTGAGGTCCCAATAAACATTAGGACCATTCGGTTCAGCCGTTTTGACGTTTATTGGATACAAACTAACAAAGCGACAGACAAGCAAAGTAAATATATAGAAGGTATCTATTAATGCCGGAAGATGAGGGTTTGATAAGGCTGACGTGTGAGTCAGGTTTACTTCATACAATTTATTCCAATAGGTGAACACTGCTCTTCATAAACAAGCTTCAAAACAACAATCAATTAATCAATGAATCGTTCTCTTATGTGCAAAGGTTGACAAATTAGTTAACCACCCCCCCTTATTACATTTCTGGATTGCAAAAATTTTACAAAGTTTTAAGGGATATTGAATTTCTTGATTTCAATTGATGAAACAAAAGAGAATAGAGGGAGGTGCTGATCGACCTAGTAGGTGGGCTGATAGAAGAGGGAGGTGCTGATTGACCTAGTAGGTGGGCTGATAGAAGAGGGAGGTACTGATTGACCTAGTAGGTGGGCTGATAGAGGATAGAGGGAATGACTGATTGACCTAGTAGGTGGGCTGATAGAGGATAGAGGGAATGACTGATTGACCTAGTAGGTGGTGTAAGTTGGGGGGGGGGGGATTGATTCTTTGCAACCAAAGCACTTAAGGGTACAAGTAGTTCATTAAAGCTTTTAATAAAAATCATGAGATAAAATCTAGAGTAGAGAATAAATACTCAACTGGAAAGTATGGATTAGGAAATCTACACAAATGAATGAATTAATAATGATGAATTCATGAATGGGTGAATAGTTACACAGATGAATAGGCGAATAAAAAAACTGATGAATGGGTGAATAGATAAACTGATGAATAGGCGAATAAATAAATTGATGAATGGATGAATAGATAAACAGATGAATGGGTGAATAGATAAACGGACGAATGGGTGAATAGATAAACTGATGAATGGGTGAATAGATAAACTGATTAATAGGTGAATAAATAAATTGATGAATGGATGATTAGATAAACAGATGAATAGGTGAATAGATTAACTGATAATAGGTGAATAATTAAACTAATAAATGGATAAACAAATAAACTGATGAATGGATGGATAAACTGATGAATGAATAGATGAATATTTGGTAATATTCGGTAATATTTGCTATATCTTGTATATCTTGAATATCTTGTATATCTTGTATATCTTGTATTTCTTGTATTTCTTGTATTTTATACCATTGCACCCTAGGTATCCCCTGTATCCTTGGTATCCCTTGTATTCATGGTAGCCTTGTATACTTGGTATCCCTTGTATCCTTGGTATCCCTTGTATCCATGGTAGCCTTGTATATTTGGTATTCCTTGTATCCTTGGTATTTCTAGTAGAATTGCATACTCCTGTAGACCTGAACTGTCATGTTCTTTTGATGAATCCATCCTGACCCCCATCCCCCCGGTACAAAGCGCGCACAAAATGCTTTAACATCATTTGAACATCTAATTAAGCATAATCACGAGTTTTGCCATTTTTCCTTCATTTCTCTCGTCCTTGGTTAGGGTGGGTGGAAGGGATGGAGGGTTTTTCTTTGAATTTATTTCTTCCCTTTTTTTGCAGTTGCGCTTTATCAATTCGTAGTTAGTTACCTTCTTAATTTCCCCTACCCTTGGTGTACCCATATCCCCCCCTTGAAGCACCATCTTTAAACTAAAGTCCCCCTCCCCCCGTGATTTCTAACCTTCACCCCCCCCCCTCTTTAAACATCACGAAACAAGTCGCATCATTATTTATTACGACATATTATGAAATTTTCACAAAGGAATTGAGTCTTTGCCGCAAACTCTGACCTTGTATCCATGGTAGCCTTGTATATTTGGTATTCCTTGTATCCTTTGTATCCCTTGTGTCCTTAGTATCCCCTGTGGTGTATCTCAGACACCTGTTTTGTCTGGGTAAAACCTTAAATTTGTATAACATTTGTAACATTTGTATCCAATGATTTCTTGTATCTTTCATTTATTTCTATCCCTTGTATCCCTTGTATCCCTTTTATCCCTTGTATCCCTTGTATACCTTGAATTCCCTATGTTTTCATGTGCACCTAGAGCAATGGATAGAATTGGTTCTGTAGTATCCTAGGTTTAGCCCGGAGCAAAGAAATATTCCTCCTACCTCAAGATGATGTTCCAACTAAATATTTACGAGGTTCAACGGTGAGAAGGATGCAATTCAGTTACATTCCTTCACCAAAACTATGCTTGAGTTAAATATTTTCATTAAAATACCCCACAATCAGGTCAAGGCACTTTTCTGTCATGTTCTAACAAAAAACCTTCCGTCACTAACCAACTATACAGACAACTATTTTTCACCAAAAGCTCACTAACTTTTCGTCTTTTACATGTTTAGCTTGCCAAATCTTCTAAACGGACTAAATTACTCATCAACATTTTGTAATGTATGCTCTCTAGGATAAATAATATTTCTCCCCAAACCTCGACATAAATTACTCGCATAAACTATAAATCACTCATTAGAAACCATTTATCAAATTATCCAGTCACATCCCTTACATAATTCATGCTTATCAAATTTGAGAACAATTTTCATCTTAAGACAAAATTTTTTTCAAAGTTTTAAATTTCTTAGTTTATTTTCTAATCTTTAAACCCCTCTTACACGAAGAAAAAATTAATTTACTTTTAAGATTTAGTTAGAATTAAGCGTTGAACTGAAGAGAAAATATTTAATTATACATGTTCACGACCTTTCAAGCTTGGTTTCAAAATACTCCATCTGTTGGAATTATTTCAAACTGCCCAATCCTATACAGTCTACAGTCTACAAGTTCATGATTTGATCATTCATTCATTCATCATTTATTCATCCCTTCATCCTTACACATTCATTAATTATCAATTCATCCTTTCATCCTTTCATATGTTCATTAATTCATTAATTCATCAATTCATCAATTAATCAATTCATCAATTCATCAATTCTTTAATTCTTTAATTCATCATTTCATTAATTGATTTATTTATATGTTTACCTTTTCTTTAATTTTTATCTTTCTATGTATTTTTAATATCCAAATATTTATCTGTTCATCTTTTATTTCTTTTTTGATTTATCTATTTAACTCTTAGTTTATTTTTAAAACCATTTTACGTCTATTTATCTATAAGTCTGTTTGTTGATTCATCTTTTAATTTATTCTCATAAATTTCTCACAATTTACTATTTTAGGTCTTGTTTCTCTCAAGTTTTGATTGAAATTCAAATTTTTAATTAATTGAGAGCAGACGAGGGTAGGATGATATTTTCAAACCTAGACAAATATAAAGTATATATTGGTATATAGCAAATATAAAATATATATTGGTATATAGCAAATAGATTAGTTTATCATTTTTACCAAATATATATAGCATCTATGCACAAGAAATGGTAAATTAATTATGTCTACAAAATAGATCGGTAAATAGATGCCTAAAAAATATATTGGTAGATAGATGCCTACAAAAAAGATTGGTAGATAGATCTCTACAAAATAGATGGGAAGAGAGATGTCTATGTAATTGATCCGTAAACAGATGTCTACAAATAGATCGGTAGATAAATGTCTGCATAATAGAACGGTAGATTTATATCTACAAAATAGATGGTAGAAAGATGTCTACAAATTAGATCGGTTGGAAGATGTCTACAAAATAGATTGGTAGATAGATATCTACAGAATAGATCGGTAGAAAGATGTCTACAAAATAGATCGATAGAAATAGATATCTAAAGAATAGATCGGTAGAAATATGAGTACAAAATAGATCGGTAGACAGATATCTACAGAATAGATCGGTAGATAACTGTCTACAGAATAGATCGCTAGAAATATGTCTACATAATAGATCGTTAGATAGATGTCAACAAAATAAATCGGTAGATATATGTCTATATAACAGATCTGTAGATAGATGTCTACAAAATATATCGGTAGATAAATGTCTACATGTTAGAACAGTAGGTTTGTCTATAAAAAGATCGGTTGATAGATGTCTACATAATACAATAGATCTGTACAAGATGTCTACATAATAGATGCATACCGAATATATATTATGTTCAGATCAATGTGTTGTGTGTAAATAAAGGTGTGGCTTAAACCCAGCACGGATAGATGAAATATATAGATAGCAAGGTAGGTAAGTAAATAGATAGATAGATAGAAATATAGATAGATAGAAATATAGATAGATATATAGATAGATAGATAGATAGATAGATAGATAGATAGATAGATAGATAGATAGATAGATAGATATATAGATAGATAGATAGATAGATAGATAGATAGATAGATAGATAGATAGATAGATAGATAGATAGATAGAAAAATAGATAGATAAATAGAAATGTACAGATTGAAAAAAGTTGGATAGACAAACACGTTTAAAGATAGATAGATAGATAGATACAAACAGGTGGATATATGGACAGAAATAAAGATAGATTAAATATTGAGGAAAATGGATTAAGAAATATGAATTTATGCATAAATAGTTATATCGAGATAAATAGATTGCAGGATAAAAAATAGTAAATAGCGTGAATTGCATCAAGTCCATTTAAGTAGCAAGTGGTTTGGTTAAGAAGCAAAAAGTTTTTCCACTTTTTTCCTCTTTGCGCGTCAATTTTGCGCGTACATCGTGAGCGTAGCATTGTCCATATTTGCAAGTTCAAATGCGTGCTTGGCTAGGTGTATTTATGCGTGCATACGTTTTTTTTTGCTAATATCCCACTAGGAGGTTTATAATATAGTTTCACCCTTTAATCTAATTATATTATATTCAGTTCGGCGTCATGGAACAGTTGATTACTATCTAATATCTATGCAATGCTAGTTTCTTAATATTTTGTTAAAAATATATACAAATTTTTACAGTTAAAAAAGGAAAGGACAAGAAAGGAATTGAGTCTTTGCCGCAAACTCTGAATTTATAATCCCTTTATCTTTGGAACCCTCGTAAATCTTTGATATTTAAAACTTGTATTATCTGATCTGAAATATTACGAAAAACTTCTTACAATGCATCATCACATGCNTACAGATACAGATATGCATATATACAGATATAGATATAAATATATTAAGATACAGATATACATATATACAGATACGAATATAAAAATACAGATATATGTAGATACATACCTTTAAACATCACGAAACAAGTCGCATCATTATTTATTACGACATATTATGAAATTTTCACAAAGGAATTGAGTCTTTGCCCCAAAGAAAAATTTTCGAATCCTAATATCTTTGCAACTAGATGGATGGGGGGGGGGCATAAAGCAAGAAAAAAGAGGAAGCGCGTGGTTTTGTGTGATGTATGCAACATGTAAAAACAAAGGATTAATGAATATTGTTTATTTCCACAGAGTGAGCATACTTAATATATTAAGCATGGTAGACTAACAGAAGGTAATTTATATCAATCCCCCACCTTAATCTACACTAATTGAATAATAATAAGGAAGTATCAATCAAATCAAAATATTATGGATAGATAGATACATGGAAATCCATTAATAAATGAATGAATGAATGCTTAAATGAATGTTAATCAAAATTAGATTTTTCAAGGATTGCTTCAGAAAATTGATTTATGAAAATAGAGGAATGCAAAATCATATAAAACGGGATGAATGTATTGATAAATGAATAAATATGAAAGATGAAAACTGAATATTTGAAATATTGACTGTAATAATAAATGTACATTAATAAGGAATAAAGTTGAATAGATGAATTCCTTGGATGAATGAATATATGAATGGATATTAAATGAATAGATGAATTCCTTGGATGAATGAAAATATGAATGGATTTTAGATGAGTAGATGAATTCCTTGGATGAATGAATATATGAATGGATATTAAAGGAGTAGATGAATTCCTTGGATGAATGAAAATATGAATGGATATTAAAGGAGTAGATGAATGCGCGCTTACCTGTAAAGGGTGCTCTTGAGGAGCGAGCAATCTCTCATTGTTCCTCCAGCGCTCTATGAGCGTGAAACGACCCGTGCGCCCTGTAGCGTGCGCAAGCGCGTAGACTATATCCTGAAATAGACAACAATTAATTGACAATTTTAAATCAATCAATCACAAACAGGTTACATCCTGCGTGGGACAAATTCTTGACGATTTTGAACAACATCTGTAAATAAACATTACATCAAATAGTTTCTAGTACGATAGATGGCAACGAAGAATTTGTAAACTCTCAGTACAGCTGTATTCTGACGTCACAAGTGTCACAGTTTTATGTGTCCGACAAAATTATTAATATAAGTGATAATAAAGTGCTTATCTTACAGTGAAATAAGTGCAATTTGATGTGTTATTTATATTTTCTGTTTTTACACTTTTTTATTTCATCTTGGAAAACATGTCAACACTCAACTAATGTTAGAAAATTTTGTTTTCCTTGTTATATTTGACACTTGTGACGTCGTGTATAATTGGTCCATTTCTCTGCTGCCACCTATTGTACTTGATACTCTATTTGAATTACATAAAAATATTTGTTTTTTAAAAAATGACATAAATAATTATCATAATAGTTGTTATGCCGATGCATGATTAGACTTTTTATATAAAAATTTGCTATACAGACATTAAATAAATAAAATCTAAGAAATTGATAAAATTATTTGTAAAAACGTCAGTAAATCAATTACAAAAAATATTCCCCAACTTTTGACCGGGAAAAGAAATAAAAGTTAATGAAATTTCGAGGAAAAGCCATTTAAATTCGTTTTAGCTCTACATAAAATCCTTAATATTCAACATGTTAAAAAAGATTATCTACAGTTTGATTTTCAATTTTTTAAAAAAAAAGTTTAATTTTGATTAGTCTCATTAATAATTGTAAACATGGGACATATCCACTAAACAAAATCCTGGATCTTTTTAGAAATATGCTTAAAAATCAAAGAAAGAAGAAGAAAATGAATAGTTATATCTCAAATATGAAATAATGACGGCTTACTTAACTTTTTACTGATATTTTATCTTAGTGTTAGACACAGATAAATAGACAGACAAAGATACAGATAGAAATTGAAAAAGACAGATATTTAGACACAATAGATGGACACAGATAGACTTTCGGACATGTAAGCAAATATACGTACAGACACATAGAAAGGTTTCACACATACAGATAACTTGACGAATATGCAGACAGACATATAAGCAGATTTATTTAGAAAGAAAGTAAGATAGACAGATAGATAGACAAATATTCAGGGCATACAGGTCTATATATATATATATAGACCATACACAGACAGATAGTTAGACAGATAGAAAGAACCGACAAGCACGGACCGAATCCCCTTCTATTTGGATTGATGTTTAGGCATTGAAATATATAAAAAGATGTGCATACAGCATACAGCATACAGTCAAGGTCAACATACTCAATAGATCGATTGATGGGTTTGTAGATACAGATATACATACATACAGATACAGATACAGATATACATATATATACAGATACAGATATACATATATACAGATACAGATATAAATATATATGTATATATTTCAGTTTTTAAACTTCACATTTTATTAAAATAGAATTATACTAAACGATCCTCAGTAATCAAAATTCGTTGAACAACTATACAGATACAGATACAGATATACTTATATGTATACAGATATAGATACAGATACTGATACACAAACAGTCAGAAACAGATATACATAAATAAAGATACAGATATAAATATATTAAGATACAGATATTCATATATGTATACAGATACAGATATGCATATATACAGATATAGATATAAATATATTAAGATACAGATATACATATATACAGATACGAATATAAAAATACAGATATATGTAGATACATACACGTCATAGATACAGATACAAATATATATGTATGTTTACATAACTATAAGGCAATAATCAGAATAGCTTCTCAGTTTTCATATTTATTAATACAAATTGATTCAGATCTCTCGATCCTAAATAAACATGGTTTAACTGATGCTTTACAACAAAAATTTACAAATTAAAACAAAGACAGATTTGAATATTTTTAAATACATAAAGAGTGATAAAAAAAAATAAAAATAAAAACTTATGGATTAGGTCCTATTTTTTGTGAAAGAGTTATTTTATTTTTTATAGAACTGTTAAATCATGCTGATCTCAATTTATTTGTAACTATGAGTACATATAGAAGTTTGAATTTAAATATAAAATTTAAGTTCTAAAATTATTACAAAATTTAAAAAAAAAGGAAAAGAAGGAAAGTAATGATGAAAAAACTGTGAAAAATGAGAAAATATATGAGAAAATATATGAGAAAATATATGAGGAAAATATATGAGGAAAAGAGAATAAAAAAATTCAGGAAATCTGTGAATACAGAAAGAAAGAAAAGTAAAAGAATAAAAGAATTAAAAATTGTTTGATGTAGGACTACAACTATATGATGTAGGACTACACCTGTATGATGTAGGACTACAACTGTATTATGTAGGACTACAGCTGTATGTTGTAGGGCTACAGTTGTTTGTTGTAGGACTACAGCTGCATGTTGTAGGACTACAACTGTATGTTGTAGTACTACAACTGTATGTTGTAGGACTACAACGGTATGTTGTAGGACTACAACTATATGATGTAGGAATACAACTATATGATGTAGGACTACAACTATATGATGTAGGACTACAACTGGCCATGTGTTTAGAGTGTACAGATTATAGGTGGAAAATCTACCTTGTATAAATTGCATAAATTGTATAAATTGTAGTTTATTAAACTAATATTCCATAAATTCTAGTATATTTACTTTTTACAACTATTTCATTCAAAACTTATCAGTTAAACCAACCGCAAACCCCTTTTCTTTAGCCCTGGAAAACCAAAAAATCCTTTCACCTTAAACCTGGGAAACTCACAAGCCCCATTTTCTTTTCCTGACAACCCGATATAACTCTTGTCCTTCTTTTCCAGGCAAACACACAACCCCATTTCCCTTTTTACTGGCAAATCTACAGACACATTTACCCTTTTCCGGGAAACCCACAAACTCTTTTTCATTTTTCCTGGCAAACTAACAAAACCATTTTCTTTTCCTGGTAATCCGAAATACCTCTTGCCCTTTTTTCTTGGCAAACCCATTTTTCTTTTTCCTGTCAAACCTACATCCCAAATACCCTTTTTTCCTGGCAAAAACCCAGAAACCCATTTTTTTCCTGGCAATCCAACATACTTTTTGTCCTTTTGTCCTTGCAAACACACAAACCTGTGTTCCTTTTTACTGTCAAAGTTTGATAAAGGTAGATAAAGGATGTTAACTTTAAAGTATGTTTACTGTAAACTGCAAAGTTTGATAAAGGTAGATAAAGGATGTTATCTGTAAAGTATGTTTACTGTAAACTCTAAAGTTTGATAAAGGTAGATAAAGTATGTTTACTGTAAACTGCAAAGTTTGAGAAAGGTAGATAAAGGATGTTATCTGTCAAGTATGTTTACTGTAGACTCTAAAGTTTGATAAAGGTAGATAAAGTATGTTTACTGTAAAATCTAAAGTTTGATTAAGGTAGATAAAGTATGTTTACTGTAAACTGCAAAGTTTGAAAAAGGTAGATAAAGTATGTTTACTGTAAACTGCAAAGTTTGATAAAGGTAGATAAAGGATGTTTTCTGTAAAGTATGTATAATGTAAACTGTAAAGTTTGATAAAGGTATATAAAGGATGTTAACTGTAAAGAATGTTTACTGTAAACTGCAAAGTTTGATAAAGGTAGATGAAGTATGTTGTTTACTGTAAAGTTTGATAAAGTTAGATGAAGGATGTATACTGTAAAGTTAGATAAAGGTAGAGGAAATATGTTTACTGTAAAGTTTGATATAGGTAGATGAAGTATGTTTACTGTAAAGTTTGATAAAGGTAGATGAAGGATGTATACTGTAAAGTTAGATAAAGGTAGAGGAAGGATGTTAACTGTAAAGATTGATTAAGGTAGATGAAGTATGTATACTGTAAACTATAAAGTTCAATGATGGTAGATAAAGTATGTATACTGTAAACTGTAAAGTTTAATGATAGTAGATAAAGTATTTATATGTATACTGTATACTGTAAAGCTTGATGAAGAATGTCTGCTGAAAAGTTAAGGTTTGTTTCGTCAACTTGATGAAACACAAATAAACTTTTATTGAACTTTGCCTCTGTCTCTCCATCCTTCACTATCATTCCCCCCAGAATAGCTTTCCCTGGGGCAGCAGTTTTTCCAGGGGAAGGGGAGAGAGGAAGGTGACAGGGGAGGGAAAAGAAATGGTAGTCATAAAAAAAATTTAAAAACAATTTTATTTTGATTAATATTAAGATACTTTTCAAATTGTTTTTACTTGAAAATTTATTCTGTGAAATATCACCATAAATCATTTTTTTCAATTTCCCTTCAAAGAGTAAAAAAGATTAATATTTCTATCCCGAGTTAATAAACCAGATTTTGACAGGTTCTCTCTGCCCAGCTTGATATTCTAAATAAACTTTGAATGAGTGAAAGTTGACTGTCAATGTTATTATTAATAAAGTTTTTTCATGTTAGGTTTTTATTAAAAAACTTTTGAGATTCGATTTTCACGTTTTCTACCACTTTAGCATCTACAGTAGTAATCTCTAAATGTCTATTTCTTTGTTTGTTTGTATGTCCGATCATAACTCATAAACCCCTAGACGAATTTGTCTCAAATATTAATATTAGAACTTTGTAAAACCACGCGCGGGAGTATTCTTAGCTTGTATTAAATATTTTAGATCTTTTATCTAGTTATTAAATAGGTAGAAAGGGGGGGGGGTATTAAGTTTTAAATGTTTCCTAGGATTTAATAAAAACCTTCAGCAGAAACCAACCTTTTAAGATAAATTAATATTAAACCGGAACCAACCAAAGAAATGTAGAAAGATTAGCGGGGATAGAAATCATTGAATCAATAGACGGACAACATTTTGGTAAAGAGTATAATTCTTTGCTGCTGCAATCGTCTTTTTCATAATCGACAATTTATAC